CCCCCCCCCCTGTAATAAAAAAAAAATCGACTGTCCCCAGGTAGCAGCACTGAAGGACAAAGGGAACGCGGCCCTGCAGGAGAACAAATATGAGGACGCGATAAAATACTACACCGAGGCAATAGCCCTGGACACGGAGAACCACGTGCTGTACAGTAACCGTTCAGCGGCCTACGCGAAATCTGGTCAGTACGAAAAGGCCCTGGAGGATGCAGAGCGCACAGTGACCCTGAAGAGTGACTGGGCGAAGGGCTACTCCCGCAAAGGGAGTGCCCTGGCATACCTGGGGCGCCTGGAGGAGTCGATAAAAGCATACGAAACAGGGCTACAGCTGGACCCCAACAACGCCCAAATAAAGGAGAGCCTGAGCGAGGTGAAGTCCCAAAAGGCCTCGTCCGCAGGTCTCTCGAACCCCTTCAACACGCCAGACCTCTTCGTAAAACTGCGAAACGACCCCCGAACAAAGGACTACCTGGACGACCCCGAGTACATGAAACTGCTGCAAGAGCTGCGAACAAATCCCCGAGCAATGGGGACAAAGCTGCAAGACCCCAGAGTGCTGGCGACCCTGGGCGTTCTCCTAGGCTTCAACACAATGGACACAGACACAGGATCGATGGACGAGGCGATGGACATCGATCCCCCCAAGAGAGAGCCTCCACCAGAGGAAAAGCCCAAGCCCAAGGAGGAGGACGTCAGCCTGACGCCGGAGAAAAAAGAGGCAATAGCTGAGAAGCAGAAGGGAAACGACAGCTACAAGAAGAAGGACTTCGACGCTGCACTGAAGCATTACAACAGAGCTGTTGAGCTTGATCCAACTGATATAACTTATCTCCTTAATATTGCTGCTGTTTATTTCGAGCAGAAGGAGTACACAAAGTGCATTGAGCAGTGTGAGAAGGCCATTGACATTGGTAGGGAGAACAGAGCTGACTTCAAGCTAATTGCCAAGGCCTTCACCAGAATTGGTAATGCCCACAAGAGGATGGGGAGCTTGAAGCAGGCGAAGGTTTTCTATGAGAAGTCAATGTCTGAGCACAGGACTCCCGAGATCAAGACACTGCTGTCGGATATCGAGCAGAGGATCAAGGAGGAGGAGAGGAAGGCTTACATTGACCCCACAAAGGCTGAGGAGGAGAAGGAGCTGGGGAACCAGAAGTTCAAGGATGGGGACTATGCGGGGGCGGTGAGACACTACTCTGAGGCCATTGCGAGGAACCCTGATGATGCGAAATACTACAGCAACAGGGCTGCCTGCTACACGAAGCTGGGGGCTTTCGATCTGGGACTCAAGGATTGTGAGAAGTGTGTGGAGCTGAATCCCAAGTTTGTCAAGGGCTGGGTGAGGAAGGGGAAGATTCTCCAGGGCATGCAGCAGCACACGAAGGCCCTCAAGGCGTATCAGACTGCTCTTGGATTGGATCCTCATAATGCTGAGGCCAGCGAGGGCTATCGGAGCTGCTCGGTTTACTATGACTCGAATCCCGAGGAGGTCAGGAAGAGGGCTATGGCTGATCCTGAGGTGCAGAGCATACTCAGGGATCCCGCGATGAGACTCATCTTGGAGCAGATGCAGAATGATCCGAAGGCCTTGCAAGAGTATGTTTTAGGGTTTTTTTTGGGAAATCTTGAATTTTTGGTGAAATTGTTAAAAGTTGATTTTGACTTTTGGCCATTTTTTTATAAATATCTCGGAATCTAAGGGAGATAGCAAAATTTTGCTCATGACCTTTTTTATAGCCCTCAGTTAGCTCTACAAAACAGGTTATGACATAAACTTTTGTATCTCTTTTAGATTCCGAGATATTCGTAAAAAACTGGCCGATAGTCAAAATCGACTTGACCCGGTTTACCGCTTCGGTACTGAATTGTTGCATTTTAGAGGAAACTAGCGATTTGAAAGGGAATTCTGTTGAATTTCATATTGAAAGAACTCGCAGTTAAACTGCGGAATTCTTTATTAAGATTATTATTCTTTATTATTAATAGAATTTTTAATAGAAATCCAATGAAATTTCGATTCTGCTGAAAAATTAGACATCTTATCTGTGCATTTTTTTTTAGATAAAAATGTTTAATGATAAATATTCTATTGAGATATTAATGAACTTAGAAATTCTCAATAGTTCCTGAAGTTTAAATAAAAAATGTCGATGATCTTTAGGAAATTGCAAAACTTCTAAAAAATTTCACAAAGAAAATTCAAGAACTACTCATTAAAAATATTCATCAATCAAATTTAATGTTACAGCCACCTGAAGAATCCAGCGATCGCCGAGAAACTTCAAAAACTCCTCGAGTCAGGGCTCGTCGCTATCCACTGATAAATCCACAAGATGATCATCCTCTGAAGGAACTTCAAAAATTAACAACGGTCCATATTCATCTCAATTGTTTATACATTGGAAATCCGAGAGATTCCCAACAAGACAGTTCAGACCAATTCAGCTTTGTTGGGACATTGTCCAATGATGCATACTGCACATTCATTAAGGTTTATTTTATCTCCTGTAATTGCTTGTCGTTCAAATAAACAAGTATAACAGTGCCTCAAATTTATTTAATCGTCATTACCCAGAATTTTCAGTGCTTATTATAGTGGATTGAAAGGATCGTGAAGTTTTCTGTTAAATTATTTCATACGTGGAGGGGTATTTAGATATTACGGCAATTTTTTGAAAGATAAATCATCATTTTTTTCATTGACACTACAACTCGGGCTTTCGATTGAAGGCCCGAGTTAAAGACCCGAATTTGTAGCAAAGATCTCAGGCAAGATATGAATGTTTTTTTGGGCTCAAACGAAAGAGCGGGTCGAGAAATGGCGTGCTAGGACCTCTAAAGATGGTTTTGAACCAGGGGAG